CAGGTAGTTCTTCCCCTCATTCCCAGAGGAGAAAAGAAAAGAATAAGGAGAGCCAGATTCGTGGCAGAAGTGGTCGCGAGAGGCTTTGTCTAAGACAAATGCAAGACTTACGTTAAGTGAGATTATTCTGATTAAAATACTTCCTTCCGTAATCTCTGGGAAATATTCTGTCAAAAAAAAAAAAAAACCCAAGATGTAAACCATGTGTAAACCACGCTACCAGGTGCAGCTTTTATTGTTGTTGTTTTACAAAGAAGGGTATTATATAATCCCATGTTTGTAGCTGCGTAGACCGTCTTTTGCGAGCAGCAATTGCTTCTGGAGAGCAGAACCCGGCAACTGGGAGGCGCGGAGGTGTCAGGGGCGAGAGGCAAGGCTGAAATGGTGAATGAGGAAGACACCTGCCAAATCTTTCTGTTCACTCTTGCCCGCCGGCCAGACGGAAAAAGGAACGCTGGGTTTCAGTGAGAAACTGAATCAATTACCACGTTTGTTCTCCTTCTTTCCTACGTAACTGAATTAAGATAGAAACAATTGGGCCTTTTGGCTCGCTGGCCCTTGGCATAGACGCACGTGTTAAGTCCACACAGGGAAGCTGTAAGAGTGACAGAGAGTCCCCTCGGTCCCGAGTCCCCACCCAGCCTTCTGTCTTATTGGGACCCAAACTTGGGCAAGACCCGAATTTCCAATCAGAAGAAATGCCTGGGCCGAAAGGGGGGCAGTTGTGACAGTGGGGGTAATGCCAATGCCTTTTCACACAAGCCCAGAAGTTGTCAGAAGACCTTGATGGCCTCCCTGTTATCCCGTAACCTATCCGTTACCCCCACTGCCCAGGGGCTCACAGCCACCCAGTCCCCACAGGCGCTTTCGGAAAAAGCGATACTGAATGGGAAGTCAATGCCACTCCTAGCTCCAAGCAGGCTGTTGAAATTTACAAATGGTCCTCTACTTGTTTCCTGTGCCAATGAAATAAGCAAGACAGTCCCTGCCCTTTGAAGTTCTACGTGCCCGGGTGGGAAAGGTAGGCCCGGGGTATGTTAAGCTTCATCGAGAGAAAATTCAGCATGAGTTACAGCCAACGTTTGTACGGGAATTCTATGACTCCTCTAATCCTTAGTGTTACTTGTGTGATGACACAGTTACCAGGCCGACTCAGGGCACCTCCCTGTAGACACAGAACTGTAATAAGAGGACGCTGTGCTCTCTGGCTGATGCCTCAGTGATTTGTATTTCCAGTCGGCTTCCCCCTTCCCGGGTCTGTTCACCGGAAAGAGCAGGACCTCACAGGATCAGCTATTGCGCTCTGGGCAGCCAGATAAGCAGCTCTTATCTCTCTGTCATTTGTGATTCAACAGATGTCTGAATTGGTTAAGTACCCAGAACTTAAACCAGCACTGATCTCACAAGGGATTGCTCCCGTCTAACTCTGATTTGAAGGGAGATGGGACAGATGACCCACAGCGAGGTTAAATGTGGGTCACATGGGAGGGCATTGTAGTCCGTGTGGAGGGATGAGCTAAACTCCAGTTGCCTGCTCCCAGGCTGAGGGCCCTTGAGCAGCGGAGTCCAGAGCATTGATTGCCGACCACACCGAGCTCTCTCCCTCTTCACTCCGCCCTGCACTCCCTTTCCAGGGAGCCCAGCAAAAATCCTGGGGAGGGCGCATACAGATGAGTACAAAAAGTGCTTTGTGCGCAGCTACTTTGCATCTCTCCTCTCCCTGGCCCAAAGTGGGCTTTTGAAACCATGTTATTGTAATCATCGCTTTCTGGTGCATTTGAGATTACATCGACATTTAAAAATCTAGCTCGCAGGAAGTAGGTAAAACAGCAAGCGAATGCTTGGCCAAAACAGTCTTTGTTGACACGGCAGGGCCCGTATGTCAAAACAAAGAATCTTCGAACAGTTGCAAGGTGGAATGCGCTTCTTTTCAGCAGGCACTGGATTCATGAGGGGCTGGGCCCTCACTTACTTACGCTCCTTGCAGGGACGAGCACAGTTCTTTGCCCAGCTTGGGTCCCCAGTAAGGCTTCAGCTCTCCACCAGAGTCGGCCTGTCCTCCACTAGATAGGTCTGCTCTCCCCGCCCCCCGTGCCTTCCCTCTTGGATACCCTGGAAGGCCTGGCCCTGGACCCGTGGCATCGAGCAATCTTTACTCTAAATCACACTGCAGAGCTACACAAAAAATTCCCCCTGGGCCCTCTAGAAAAACACTGGAGTTTTGTTCAGGGCAAATTAAGCTCAGAGACTATGATTCTTTGCCAATGGTTTATTGGACACAGGCTCATTACGGGAATTACTATGCTATTTCACAAGTCAATAGCACACCAGATAATGCCTCTTAAGAAGGCAATAAAGAAAGAACGTACTCCAAACCAGTGATAGATTAATTACACTATGGTTCCAGGCAAAGGGGAGGTGACAGTAAGAAAGGCCAAATTTCATTGAGGTGTACCTTTCTACAAGCTGGTTCTCAGTGGACTCAGTCCTTCCAATCAAAAGCTGGGGATCAGCTGCCAGATGAGGTCCCTCATCGTTGGGGCGTGTAGCTGGTGGGTGATGGCACCATCACTGGAAGGCAAGGGGGGGGGGGAGGCGCTGTCCCACTGGTTACAACTCCAGCGACTGTTTTGCAGCTTGTACTACTGCCTACAAGGAACAGAGTCGCCAAGACGGGAACAGACATTCCGTCTCTTCCTGAGATTGTTGTATGGTCCAACAGCACTGCTGACCGGGAATACTCTGGCCACAGTAGGAGCAAGTGTCTCAAGATCTTTGGAGAGCTAATCAGATCAAGGAAAAGCACTCTCGTCAAGGCCAAACGCTCTCAAATAGCTGGTCAAACCTCTTGGCTTTTGCAGTTTAAAAGTCCCTCAAGTGACAGACGCCACTGCTGTCACTCTGGTGTCAATAACATAACGGTCCCTCCCACGCCAAGTGTGAGAGTTTGAGAACAAAGTCCTAATATCTAATCTCAAAACAATTTCACCAAAACAAGTGACTCAAAACAAGTTCAAACCACAAACAACTTTGTCCATAAAGAGCTTTCAAAACATGGAGTTGAAATCATAACACGTCTGTACACAGCAAATTGCTTTCATGTTAAGTTACGCTGCGGAGATTTGCTCTCGATAAAAGATGGATTGGCTTCAGTCTGTCAGATAGTAGGCATGCACTAGGGAGGAACACGGGAGCTGACAGAAGTCAGTGTCACTGATTTCAAGTCCTATCATGGTGCTTAGCGCCATGATGGATATCTGGTGACGACTTAGCTCCAGAGGTATCGATGTAGTCACTAGCTGACCCCAGATGGGAACGATCTGTTCAAGGATGGGCAAATCCCCATGAGGTCCAGCAAATTCCTGGTAGGCAGTCTTCATCATCATGTTTCAGGTCATTTTACAGACCTCGAGGCAAGTACAAGGGGGGGGGGGGCGGGGTTGGTGATAATCAGAAAACATGGCTTTAGCATTTGCCATGTGATGACGAGCAAGTGTAACTATATACTAACTTATCCAACAGGGGGCTGAGGCAAGGTGATCTCCAGGACCCGAACTGGAGAGGCCCCCATCTGTCTTCCATGAAGCATTCCAATGACCCCGCACAATCAGAAAGATTTGCTGCCTGAAACAGGAATTCTCGCGGGCGGGGTGGGGGGGGGGTGGGGAGGGAAGGACAGAAGCTTTCAGGATGTGATTATTCTGTCCCCGCTACATCCAAGCCCGAAAGCCCCACTGCTTGCCTTCTCAGGAAGCAAATGATGGATTTCCTCAGAACCAACTCAGGGCCTCCTTCTTCTCTCAAGCTGACTCTGGTGGCCCATCCCAGGCTGCAGCTCTTTGCTTCCTAGGTCAACAGCTCTTCGGGTGCTCCGCGCACAGGTCTCAGCCCCGAACCTGCCCTGCTAGCCCTCATGACCACTTTTTCGGCCACCACTGCCTATGGCCATCTTTTGGCAAACATTCCCAGATCTTTCCATGAGAGCTCCAATTTACTTAGAGAGCATGTTTTTCCTCCGAGTGGAATTTGTTAACTGGAACTCAATTCATACGGACTGTTTTAGTTTTTCATGCAAATCATCCGAAATTACACACGTTGCCCCAGGGATGGGTCCAGGTTTTGTTGGACGTGATCTAGGCAGTATAAAAGGAGGCGCAGGGCCATGGGGCGGGGCATGCAAGTGACGGGCCCCGAGGCTGAAGCTTCATTAGCTTGGTGGCGAATCCACTTTTGCCCTTATTTGGAGAACTGAATTCCAGTGGGAGCATCGTGCTTTCTCTGCAGCAAGATGATCTATCTCTTGCGATGGCCTATCACTTGTGAGCAGCACAGTATGAGGAAGAAAATACACACTGGGGACAGAAAGGCCTGGGTTCTGGCTCTTCACTCGCTCTGGGATCTTACGCATAAAGTTGTCTAACCTCACGGTGTTTCGGGTCCCCCAAAATGGAGGTAACGGTGCATCTTTCATCCATGAGCTTGTGAGGGTTACAGAGACGGCTTTAGCAAAACCTAACACACATAACACACGTAAAAGTATGTCACGCGGGTCACTCGGTGAATGACAAATCAGACTCCTATCTGACACTTGTTAGAATTTGTGTCCTCGACTGAAATCTACCTCACACGGTAAGGTTAGTTAATAACTAACACAAGGCAAGTTAGTTATTTACCCGACAAATGACAGACATAGGACATGCAAGCATATATTCAAAGGTAGTATAAATGTATAAAAACAAGATGCAAAATAGAACCAGGCTTGGCCTGCACCGGGGGCTAACAAGTATTCTTCTGCACCACTGTGCCGAAGGCATGCGGTGTAACCCAGGTGACAACAATGGCTTAACGCAGCAGTGATAGACGAGGAGCATACGAACGAACCGTTTGCAAAACGCTCAGGTGTTCTTTGCTTCCTCATGATATACGTTCTCCTCCCACCTCTATCCCAACCCCCATAACCCACCCCCGGTCCCAGCTGAGAATCGCACTCTCCACAAGAATTAAGGCAAAATACTGAGTTTATTCAGTTGATTTGACCAATCACGCTGGATAAAAGTGCCGGTTTCATTTGCCTGATGTAAAAACGTACTTTAGGTAGGAATACTGACGTAATTACAGTGTTAAAAATATGTGTACGTGTAAGAAAGATTCATGAAGGCATTTGCTATAAAACATACACAGTATGCTATTTTAATATACAAATGCTTACGAGGAAGTGTTCAGGACAGTTACAAAAGTAGCATCATTAAGAATTTAGAAAAGTTCATTTTCCTTAAAGGTCACGTTCTCATCCTTTGGGATGTACAGAAATTATGTGGTTTAACACAGTTTTATCCACATTCAAAACACCATGTTTTAAATGTTTTAAGCATAGCATATACAGTACAAACTGTTTCCATAGGAACATAACAGAACCTGTCACTAGTGGCTTCTGTCAGATGGCTCCTGAATAAGGAGCCATTTTTGAGACACCAGTTCAGCTTATTGCTAGAAGATTCAAGTTGTTCTATTCACCCAAAATATGACGACTTTAATTTATACTAGAATCTACCCACAAAGGCTCGAGGAGTTATAATATACACCCATATATACAAGCCAACTATTCTGAGTTAAATGAAGTTCCCGTACTTAAATCAGAACCAAGAATGCTAATTTCAGGCTAACACATTATCCTTGTGGTTGGTATTTTGTAAATGGTGAGCAAAGTGCACAGTGAATGGAATCAGTCACTAGAAACGATCCTGCCATGAACCCTCAGCTCCCTTTGAGTCATACCATCTGAGAAATGAGAACCTTTAGACCTGGCAGCTACCGGGGCGGCTTCACACATCAAACCCATGGGAGCCATGTGGAGTCACATTCATGAGTCACGGGAGCCCACACGGCCAGCTAACAAATGGCACAGTTCGTTATCCAGAGCCCCAGTGTAGACTCAGCAGGACCAGCTTCCAGGAGACCAACGCTGAGTCTTGATTATTTAGAGAAAATGTAACATCAGTCAGCCATATTCTAGTGTTGGCGGACCCCGTACAAAGTTGAAATAGCCAGCCAGGGCCCCAAGGTCTATGTAGAGGGAACGCTGTCTCTTTAGCATCTCTGATTCCTCAGTGCTTCCTGTGCATGAAGAATCTGAAAAGGAAAACATTGAAAAAAAATTAAATAAATGATCAGGTGACATGTTCAATAATAAATACCTGTTCCTTCCGGCTGGGGAGGGGAGGACTGCAGGGGTGGGGGAGGCGGTACAAGGAAACTTTGGTCTTCGTGAAAAAACTGTTCGAGCTATGGTTTTATTAAAAAACGATAGGCTTAGAGTTGAACATTATGGGCTAGTTTTGGTAATATGGCACAGACAAAAAGGTTCGAAAAAGAGTCACCGATGACAAGAAATTAGCTAGAAATTCTGGCGTATTTTCCAATGCCCCAGATGGTTCTCTTTAAATACAGTAAAGTCAGACAAGAAGACAATGAAATGCAAATAAACATTCCAGGCTTGACATCTGGGTTTGGACCTAAATGGATTAAGAATGCCACAGATCTTAATAATAAAAATAGAAACACTCTCCGTGCATGTTCAGTGTTCCTGGAATGCGTACTGACTTTCCTAAGTGGGAAAGATTCATAGCTGGCAAAGAGGTTTTAGGCAGAGGAAGACAAAAATGCAAGTTGACTTCAGACTCAGTATTTCATCTTGATGTTTCCAACCAAGGACTGATGTGGCTTTACGGTAACCGAATGAAATAAAAGTCTGTTCAGAACCAACAGCAAAACTGCCCTGCTCCATCCATTTTTAAAGGCACATGGTACTCCCTATTGCAAAAAAGCAAGTCAGAGGCAGTTCTCAAGGACTGCGGCTACCTGCATTTGCACTGAACCATGCCCTGATTTGCTGGTCGATTAGCCAATTTTTGTTTTTTTAAATGCTTTTGCTAAACTTCTTGCTTAAATTTCTCAAACAACTCTATGGCACTCGAGAAGTCACTCCAGTTTTTTGTTTCCGAGTGCTTTCGTGCACTCCATCAGAAGTCTGATGCAGACAGAAAAAGAAGGGAAGCAGGGGGGCGTCGGGCACAGGAGGGTGTCCATACCAGCAATGTTCTCTGGAAGTTCCAACTCTTTCCTGCTCAGCAGCCTCTTCCGCTCAAGGAGGGCGGAGTCCAGACTCTGACAGCGCGGCTGATCCTCTCTGGGGGGGTTCAGGGCGTCATGTTTTAACAGGTCTGCTGCCCTCGGGCGGTGATTGGGGTTCCTCTCCAAGGCGGCCTCTATCAACTCTCTCATGCTGGGACTGCAATCATCTGCAATATCTTCCAGCGGAGGCGCCTGCTTGTGGATCTAGCAGCAAACAAGCTCTCTTAAGCACCAGTGGTACGAAAATATACCCTCAACAGGAAAAGCGTTCCAGTTACCAGGACCTGGAAAGTCATTTTGCCTCCCACCACACGCCCCGCACCATTACAGTCCTGTCTTAACCACGTTTGCCCGGAATGTCTTAAGAGCCCCCGAATTAAACGAATTCTGTGGGTTAACGATGTTCAAGGGTCACCGTGCCGTAATGGGGACATATCTGCTCTCTCTCGATGGTAAAATGGAAGTTGCAGGGTTCGCTATGTGCCAGGCTGGCTTGGGGATCTATAGTCTAACATGTCTTTTCTGAAAGTGGACAAAGAACAGACACAGCTTCTTTGGCTCGGAGATGTATGCTACTCGGATGGCGCTAAGTGGCACTGTAGGATGACACGTATAACAGAATAGCATGCAACTGACGCCCGGTGCAGATTTTAGTAAATTCCCAGCAATGCATTCTCTGCAGGAATGGGATTCTGCTCCACACGGGAAGAACTTTCCAGTTCCGTCTCGTGGGTCACCAGTTCACATCTTCCCCTCGGGTGGGCTACAGGAGGGACGGCGGCTCTCCCGAGCGGGCAGAACTCCCCCGCGCCCCCAGCCCTGGTTGACCCTCTACTTACTATGTACAGGTAGGAGGGATAGGCAGAGCGAGGGTAGCGCTTCACCCAGGGCGGGGTGCCTGTCTGCATGTGGATGAGTGTGGCCCCCAGGCTGTAGATGTCTGCTTTGGTTGAATGACCTCTGCATAGGATCACCTCTGGGCTCATATAAATCTAAAAAAGAAGCAGAAAACATCAGTCTGACTCCCTCCGTTTGTCTGGGGGTCCATTTCCCTCAGCCAGTTCTGGAAGCTGGCTCCTCCAGCTTTACCGTATTTATTGCACGCTTCAGTCCTTCAGAAGACTGTGTCACTGCTGTGTTCCCTGACGCTAGGGAGAGTGACACAGACACCCTCAGGGAGCCAGCAACTTGGGCCCGAGACGTCTCTGCAGCCTAATGAAAAGCACCGCTTTTGGGGCGCCTGGGTGGCGCAGTCGGTTAAGCGTCCGACTTCAGCCAGGTCACGATCTCGCGGTCCGTGAGTTCGAGCCCCGCGTCGGGCTCTGGGCTGATGGTTCAGAGCCTGGAGCCTGTTTCCGATTCTGTGTCTCCCTCTCTCTCTGCCCCTCTCCCGTTCATGCTCTGTCTCTCTCTGTCCCAAAAATAAATAAACGTTGAAAAAAAAAAAGAAAAGAAAAGAAAAGCACCGCTTTTGAACATACTGAACACGCGGCAGCCAAGGACCCACCTGGGACACCCACTCGCCAAGGTTCTGGAAGGCACCCACCTTGGTTTAATTTTTCTATTAAAACACCAATTCCTTGCATATTTAAATGGATACTACAAATCCACTTTTTCACTTCATGTTTGTCATTAAGCTGCCGACCCTCTAATGATCTGCAGTAATAAAAGGTAGCAGAAATACCTAGGGTATTAACACCCATCACACGGGAGAGAAAAACTTAAAATAGCAGGTAATGTTGTAAAAGTGGTCCTGTCATTGATAAGAACTACTTTTTCTTCTTCTCTTTTTAATGTTTATTTATTTTTAAGAGAGAGAGAGAGAGAGAGCACAAGCAGGAGAGGGGCCGAGAGAGAGATTGACACACAGAATCCGAAACAGGTTCCAGGCTCTGAGCTGTCAGCACAGAGCCCGACGCGGGGCTCGAACCCACAAACCGTGAGATCATGACCTAAGTCAAAGTTGGACATTTAACCGACTGAGCCACCCTGGTGCCCCTATGTGAACTACTTATTTCTACCTACGATGCAGCCGGTGACTAAATATTAAAGGTGTGACATTGTATCACTCTGTAAGTTCTATTTGGTTTCATGCTGGAAAAGCAGGGCTAGTTTCAGAAATAGTTTCTCTAAGAAGCGTTTGCTTCTAAACTTAAAAAAGAAAGAAAGAGAGCAAACCCTCGTAGCCAATGATCCATATTTATGGCTGGTACAGACATAAATATAAATATCCATAGTTAGCATTAAGAAATTTTCATGCTGTCCATCATCTGAATATGGAGAAAGGGGTAAGTGTTCCTGGAATATATTTCAGAGTCAATAAGTAAAACAACTGGCTTACAAAAACTGGGGAAATTTCCCAGTTTCCCCATCCTAACCATCCTGAACAGTATCCTACAACACACTTCCTGGCCTCCCTTGCTCATTCTGTCTGTCTGTCTCACCAAACAGGCTACACTGAGCTCCCTCCCTGTTCTCAAGCATTTCCTAAAGTAAAGGCACCGCCTTTGCATCCCAACAGACCTTCTTACTAAATATCATCACAAAGCGAAAAGACAGATGCAGCGGGAAGGCTTAGCTGTCGATGGAGGATGCTCGTCTCCTCCCTGCTGGCTTGCTCTCCTAGGCAAAGATCAGGCCACGTATGGCCCGTCGGCGTGGGCGACGTCAGCTCTGGAGGCTGTCAGTGGTGGATTTGGGGATGCAGCGTCCCAACCCACCTGGCGACCTGACCGCTGCCCGCGCCGGGCAGGTCCCCCAGAGTTCCGTGGCTCAGAGGTCCTGCTTCCTCAAGCTCTAGGAGCGCGAGAGCGGCAGGGCATGGCGTTCGAGAACTCTTCAGGCTGGCCGACGGCAAGCATGAAACAGGCCCAGTGGGAACCATGGAAGGCTCTCGGAGACCTGCACCCCCTCAGGCCTGGGGCACTAGAGCAAGGGAACCTGTCGGTTGGGGGTCAAGGCTTCACCTCTCAACACGTGTATCAGAAACAGAAAGAGACTGTGCAAAGTGTGTGTGTGTGCGCGCGCGTGTGATGATTAATGTGTTAACCTCTATCAAGTAAGACCAAACACAGACTCAGAAGGAAATAAGAACTTTTAAAAAAGAACCATGCTATAAAAGTTGTTCCAATTAGCTATTTGCATTCATTATTTATTCTTTCTCTCTGCCGTGTAATTAAAAAACAATAGATTGAACATATGCCAGATTAGCCGTGTTCTGAATCTGAATGCTGGGAGAGAGATCAAAGACAGGTGACCAGTGTTTGCACTTGTGAGTTACACAGCAGGGATCAGAAATCATCTCTGGCTATGCAGTAGCCAAGTAATCAAGTTCCTTTTTTTGTTGTTGTTGTTGTTTTTTAATTTTTTAATGTTTATTTTTGAGAGACAGACAGAGCATGAGTGGGGGAGGGGCAGAGAGAGAGGGAGACACAGAATCCAAAGCACAGGCTCCAGGCTCTGAGCTGTCAGCACAGAGCCCAATGTGGGGCTCGAACCCACAAACCATGAGATCATCACCTGAGCTGGAGTCAGATGTTTAATCAACTGAGGCACCCAGGCATCCCGCCCCCCGACAAGTGATCAAGTTCTAATGGAAAGTAACTCTGCTCAGTTGACTTTGGCAAATGACATCTTATCGACTCTTCAAAGATGAAGGGTCTTGCTAAAAGCTTTTAATGGTGACTTTACCACCTTACTCATCAAATTTTGACTTGTGAGTACCATACACAGATAGTAAATGCAGGCTGATTTGAAGAAAGTTGATAACTCTGGACATTAAAGTCAGTTGAGCACTCTGCAAAAAGCAATTTCCATTTGCTGAAAATAACTCAATCCAAATACCATTTAAGAGCAAACGCTATGCCATTATCTCCCATCCAAGCACACACACTCTGTCTGCTAGAGAATCCCGGAGAAGACGGATCTTCCTCCAGCCATTGCAAAATGTTCAATTTGATCACACTGCCGGGAAGAGAAAGGTATTTTCTATCTATAATACCATAAATAGTTTGTTTCTCAAACCGACTCCAGGAAAAAGGGTAGAATGTCACGTATCTGAACTTCTGAGTAATGCCAAAATATGCTGAAACATTTCCCAAAAAAAACATGTCGTAAGCATTAAGTCTTAATTAGATTTTGTGCTCTGGTGAAGTGTTCTTAAGATCTGGGGACTGAAACATTCTTTTAAAGAAGTTTACAGTTTTGGGGCGCCTGGGTGGCGCAGTCGGTTAAGCGTCCGACTTCAGCCAGGTCACGATCTCGCGGTCTGTGAGTTCGAGCCCCGCGTCGGGCTCTGGGCTGATGGCTCAGAGCCTGGAGCCTGTTTCCGATTCTGTGTCTCCCTCTCTCTCTGCCCCTCCCCCGTTCATGCTCTGTCTCTCTCTGTCCCAAAAATAAATAAACGTTTGAAAAAAAAAATTAAAAAAAAAAAAAAAAGAAGTTTACAGTTTTCTCTTCTAAATATTACTCTGCTCACAGACAACTTATCAAGGATCCTTTCTCAAGTATTTTCCAGAATAACTTCAGTACTATCAGCAATTTCTGCTGCTGCCCAGGAGAAGTCTTTGCGTTGAGAGAGTTACGAAAAAGCTCCCACAATCTTGGTTTAAGATGAAGTCTGCCTGCTTGTTTTTATACCGCGGTTGGGTTCAGTGCACTGCGCCTACCAGCTGGACTAACGGTTGTCATCTGATTGAACACCAAGACTGACCCGGTGATCTTAAGGTAAAGGTGCAGCCAAGGGCCCTCTCTCCATTTGCTGGGGACATTTTCAGCAGGGAGAGAACCTGGGGCTGGGAGGTTCTAATAGTTAAGCACCCTACCGAGGTGGACACAAACCAGAGAGGAGGCTTCCATACCCATTTACCTTACCATTTGCATCCAACCCCACGCCCATCATAGTCTACTATGAAGTAAACTGTTGCTTTTTGAAGAATTCGGGTAACTTTAAAACAGGTCCCTTCACCAAAGAGTGGGGGCTGCTGAAATACCACCAAAGGCATGGTCCCTGCTGGCCTTGTCCAGTGGTCCATCCCTGATACCTACAACAACAGCCTGACACATAGCTATGCTCAACAGACGCTTGTTATATGAATCAACTGTTCAGCCTAATCATGCGTACGTTAAATTAAATACGTTAGCTGAAAGCTCATGCATGCATCTCATTTACATCCAGAAATGGCTGTGGTTTGGTTTTGCTTTTGCTTCACCACTGACTTAATTATAGCTAGTTTGGATCTTCAAATACAATTTATTTGTGCTATAATAAATTTGAGATTCATTACCGGTTCTCTAGAAGGAAAGGTAAGCCTAAAATGTGGTTGGTCCTCAATATATACTATTAGTAACTACGTCAGTTATGGCTATGCTTGAACCAAGACGGTATTACAAGTTACACTGAGACTATATATATATATATTAGTTATCGTAAAAAGTGACGATATTTAGGCTCTGAAAAAAATTGGTTTAAGTACCGGATCTGTCACTTGCTGAGTGACTTTGGGCCCTTTATTTTAACCCCTCCAAGCATATTCCCTTATTGTAAAATGGGAATCCTAATAGTGTTTGCCTACGAGAACAATATTTACCAATAACGAGGTAATTTGTTACGAGGATTAAATAATATAATTCATTTAAAATGCTAAAATTAGTACTTGGCACAGAGCAAGTGCTCACTAAATATGCTCCAGTGATAATCCTATTTGATGCAATGGTTTTTCACCCCCTTTTCAGTCCTTTCTGCAAGAACGCTAGAACATTTTTTATTTTTACTCTTAAAAAGACATCGACCATCCCTGGGGGAATAGAATTACCTCTGTTCCACGGAGGTCCTTAGGAAAATAGATATCTTCAGTCATTTGAACACTTAGGCCAAAATCCACCAAAACAGCTTTTGTGGACATGAAAACAATGTTGCTAGCTATAAAAAGAAGACAATTTTTTAGTATCAAATTGTCTATATACCCATAAATAAAATAAAAACATCATCCAAAACAGTGAGTCCCAAATCAGAATAGACTAAAATGCGCTCCCTACCAGGATGATCATATTATACTCAAAAGAGTAGGATAAATCTGGGTGAGAACTTAAGTGAAAATCACTTTAGATATGCCAAGAACACAGTCGATGTGGGCGTAAATGGTTGCACACACTAATAATGCTCAAGATACAATGGCCAAGTCATGGAAACGATTTAAGGGTATGATGGATGAGTGGATAAAGAAAATATGGTATGTGTGTATATGCAATATAATAGAACGTTACTCGGCCATAAAAAAGAATGAAATCCTTCCTGCCTTTCACAACAACATGGAAGAACCTTGAAGATCAAGTGAAATGACTGAAATAAGTCAGACAGAGAAAGATGAAAGCTGTATGAATCCCACTAGTATGTGCAATCTCAAACAACTAAACTCATAGAAATAGACAACAGATCGTGATGGCCAGGGGCTGGGGGTTCGGGGAAATGGGTGAAGGTGGTCAAAGTGCACAAAATTGCAGTGGTAAAATGAACCAGTTTTGGGGGTAAAATATACACTGTGGGTGACTATAGTTAATAATACTGTATTATATATTTAAATGTTGCTGAGTCTATTAAAAAAATTTTTTTTAGTTTTATTTTTTGAGAGAGAGAGAGAGAGAGAGCGCAAGTAGGGGAGGGGCAGAGAGAAAGGGAGACACAGAATCTGAAACAGATTCCAGGCTCAGAACTGTCAGCACAGAGCCCGATGCAGGCCTCAAACCCACAAATGCAAGATCATGACCTGAGTCAAAGCTGGATGCTTAACCAGCTGAGCCACCCAGGCACCCCAAGTCAATTTTAAAAGTTCTCACCACACATACACACACAAATTATAACTCTGTGAGGTGATGGATGTATTAACTAATCTCCTTGTGTTAATCATTTTGCAACATACACAGACATCAAATCATTACATCACATACCTTAAACTTACACAATGTTATATGTTAATTAGATGTCAATAAAGCTGGAAAAATATAATGCTTACGAGCTTGGCTTTCAAATTCTAAGATATAAGCATATGATTATCATGCCACTTTCCTAAAATGAAAAAGTAAAATACCCATTTTTTGTTCAAGTAATAGTTTCACTAGTGCGATTTAGCATTAAATATTAAGGGTTTACAGTGGGTCTCTGTGTTGTATTTCCCACCATCTCTTACCCCTAGAAAGCAGTCAGCGAAGGCCTGTTTAACGAATTATTGGCAAAATCGTGTTCAAAATTAAAAAGCCATTTGTTTCCCAAAAACGACTGGACTCTGTGTGTGTTTAAAGTAAATTACTATTTTTGAAAGCCTTATTAACAAGGGCATAGTCAGGACTCAACAGATGTGTGGCTCTAATCTTCCACAACCGGATAATCCTCCTTCCTTATGACTTTGAAAGCTTTAGTGACCCTATTGGGTTCTAAAACATGTTTCAGGAGCGCAGGGGAGGACAGTGAAAAGTGCTCCAGGGCAGCTGTCCTCCCCTCCACTGAGGATCTTTGGATTAAAGACAGGAGGAGTCCATTTGCCTCCTATCTAAGAGCCTAAAAGGTTCACATGCAAAGGTTACTCACGTTTAATATCATGATGAATCACTTTCTTTGAGTGCAGAAAATCAAGTCCCTTGAGAACATGCTTTGTCACCCAAATAATTTCAAATTCTCTCATTGGTCCACAGCTCTCCAGTTTCTCTAGGACAGACCCTCCCTCGCCTGCTTCCATGAAGAGGTGCACGGTTTCACCCCATAGGACTGCGCCATATAACTCGGCAATGTTCTCATGCCGGAAGCAAGCCTGGATTTCCACATCAGATGGCTTAAATTGATCTACTGGGATCTAGAACACAGAAATACCAGTAAGATGCTAACCAACCCAGGACAGTGAAAAAATATCTATAATAGAGGTCAACCCACAAACCAGAAGGCAAATAAATGCCCCCAAGGATCCCTCAAGGATCTGCATGAAATTATACTGCCAAGTTCAAATAATGTTGACTTCAAACCTGCATTTACATTATGTCCTCTTTAGGTGATGACCAGGGCCTGGGGGCTTGGGGAAATAGGTGAAGGTGGTCAAAGTGTACAAACTTGTACAATTCACGAGAAGAAAATAACAAAATATAAAGTATTATTTTCATTTAAAATGTAGCAATCCAACCAAAGAATTATCCATGATTGAATCGAAAGGGTGATAATTTCCCATCCATTTTACATACACTTTCTACGGCACCTAGATTTTTAGGCTCTAGCATCAATATTTCAACTTGTCACGAAATAATATGATGCCTTTGGATCCACAGCTCATGCTCTAGCACTGGCCATCTATTCTATGGAAAATCAAAGTTACTAATAAAGAAAAAAGTAGATCTTTCAGTGCAGATGGAAATGGAATGTCTCCAAACTCTAGCGTTAGACAAAGAAAGCAAAATGCAAAAGTACGAGTATTTTATGCTCCCACTTGTAAAAAACTTTTAAGCTATACATACACATGTCCACAGACATTTGGAAAGACACAGAACTCATTAACAGTAGCTGCCTCAGCCAAAGGGGTCTCATTCTTCAATCTACATTCTTTTGAATCTGCTAGGGGTTGTTACTCACCCTGTATGTTCTTAAGACAAAAAAATACAGCTTAAAAATTGAATGTCAGTACTCTGAGAACAACAAAGGTATTTTTTCATGCCTTTTCTGACAAAACTGTGCAACAGGGCACTTGGGTTCTAAGCTCTTTCTAAAATGTCCCCAGATTCTTTTAAGACAACTGAGACACGTCTCCTCTAAATGCAACCTTCAAGTGGCTTCTGATAATACCTCCGTTTTTCCTTTTGATAAGATACTCTAGCAAATCTCTATGAAGGAATAAATGAGGCCAGTATATTGGCGAGCTTTTAATTACAATAACATAGACTAAGGCCATAGTCAACAAATCAAAAGTGACTTCAATTTATTGCACTTCTAAAAACCTTTGAAAGTAAAAGAGACATACAAAAAAGCACAAAACTGGTTAACTAGCAAATTCAACGAATTTTCAGCATGTAACCACCACCTGGATCAAGAAGCAAAACTCTACCGGCACCCCAGGAACCCCTTCCTGACCTCCGCCAGTCACTGCCTCCCAAGGGCACCCACTATCCTGACTCCCAGCAGCATGGGTCTATTTAGCCTATTTTGGGCCTTTATAGAAGTGGAATCTCACAGAGCAGATTGCTGTCTGGCTGTTTTGGCTTAACATGTCTTTATGAGTTTCATCCACGTTACTACAGGTGTAAATCATGTGTTCTCTTCACTGTACAGCATCCCATTGTATAAAGAGACCATGCTGCAACATCTAGAAACTTTCCAGTTTGGGACTATTACAAATAGTGCTCTGATGAACATTCTAGTACACAGCTTTTGGTGACCACGTGTACATGCCTATGGGGTGTGTACCTATAGGAGCAGAATTGCTGGGTCATGGGGTGTGTATACGTGCCCAGCTTAGGCAGGTACATGTCCAAAGCAGGGGTACCTCAGCAATGACCGTTTAATAACAAGTGATGGCATCTTTACAAGAATTGGCCTATTTAAGTTCATCCCTTTATTATTTTTTATTTTCTTTTAAGTTACTATTTATTTTTGAGAGAGAGAGAGAGAGAGAGAGAAGGAGGGAGGTAGGGGGAGGGAGAGAGAAAGAGAGACAGGGCATTAATGGGAGGTACAGAATGAGAGGGAGACACAGAATCTGAAGCAGGCTCCAGGCTCTGAGCTGTCAGCACAGAGCCCAATGCAGGGCTCGAACTGATGAACTATGAGATCACGACCTGAGCCCAAGTCAGACACTTAACTGACTGAGCCACCCAGGGGCCCCTAAGTTCAGCCCTTTAATCTACAGTCTTGAGAAGCCTGGCAGCTTGCCCAGCTTCTGCTTCCCTACCTGGCCCCTTCCCCAGTGGGTGGGATTAAAGGAGCAGCACACAGATTTGCTCCTGCAGGATAGCTCCCCTCCACTCCACCCTACCACAAGAGGGATGATGATATCCAAGCCGGGTACAGAAGCCAGCGGCATTTTCTTTTTTATCAAGGCAAACTAGAGTAAAACCAACTACGCACTTAAGCAGAGTTAGGGGCTGAACAGCCACAGGCAGCAAGCAAATCCAAAAGGGGGAAGAAAAAAAAAAAAAAGGAGACAGCAAAAGGAAAAGAGGATGAAAAAGAGAAAGAGAAAGACGAAGAAAGAGAAAAAGAGAAAAGGTGTCTTTGGACAGGGCACCCTTACATGAGATCCAGTCAAATGGTAACAACTTCTGAGTAATGCAAACGAGTAAGACCCACAATACCGAACACAGGAACATACGAATAGTAAGTACTATTTTTATCTCCATTTTACAGGATGTCTGGTTATAAAGTACATACCAATTTACAGGCCATTCTTTTCTTAGTCTTCATATCTTGTGCTAAGTATACTTTTCCAAACGCCCCCCGAGGTATGAAATCAGAGCCAATATTCCTGTAAGTCAGCTTCCAAGGGATAAGGAGAACATCAGAGTCTATTTGATAGCGTCCATTTTGGGGAGTGATTACCTACAACAACAACAACAAAAAAAGGTGGGAGGGTGAGAACTTCAGCAAACTCCTTTTCTAAGACACACCCTTCAGACTGGTTACTTTAGATTGCATTCCTCCACGCCGTGTTTGAAATTAATGTCACTGTTGTGTAATCCTAACAGTGTACAGAGACTATATTTAGAGCTGCAGCAAGACAGAGAAAGCATGTAACAGAAACACATCCCTGGTCGGACCTGATCGTATTTCCACCTACTGGTGAGTAATTCATTGTCCAACAAAACTTTAAAAATTATTTATCGAAGGGAGCATGACTACAGCGACCAAAAGGCTGAAAATAAAGATGGCATAAATATAAGCTGTGACTGCAAGTTGACTTGCTTCCAATTAAAATGTGCTAACCTGTTAGTCTGCATAGCTATTACTCACACATGACGCATACAGAGAGAGCGTGGAAATCAACTGGTGATCGTGGAGGATTCTGGAAAATAATGTGGTATGCCAGGGCTATGAGTTGACAGTGCTGCGTAAATAAAGTAAGGGCAGAATTATCCCTCATCTACTCGCCCACTGAATAATTTACTGAGCGCAGATTGTGTGCTGGCCACTGTGTTCGGTGGTGAGGAGGCAGCTATGAGACCCTTAACCTCCAAGAGCTCCCGAGCAGGCAAACACACTGGGAGGTTTCAAAACCAATCGATTCAAATATTAAAAGAGATGAATCCAGGGGCGCCTGGGTGGCTCAGTCGGTTAAGCGGCCGACTTCGGCTCAGGTCATGATCTCACGTTCCGTGAGTTCGAGCCCCGCGTCGGCTCTGTGCTGACAGCTCAGAGCCTGGAGCCTGTTTCAGATTCTGTGTCTCCCTCTCTCTGACCCTCCCCCGTTCATGCTCTGTCTCTCTCTGTCTCAAAAATAAATAAACGTTAAAAAAAATTTAAAAAAAGATTATCTTAAAAAAAAAAAAAGAGATGAATCCCGGGGCACCTGGGTGGCTCAGCTGGTTAATGGTCCAACTCTTGATTTCAGCTCTGGTCGTGATCTCAGTTCATGGGTTCGAGCCCCGTGTCAGGCTCTAAGCTGACAGTGTAGAGCTTGCTTGGGATTTTCTCTCTCTCTCTGCCCCTCCCTAACTTGCACTCTCTCTCTTTCTCAAAATAAATAAATAAACTTAAAAAAATAAATAAAAGAATTGCATCCTGGTAGCAGTGTGGACTGCAAGGGTATGTGCTTTTGTCAAAACTCAACAAAATGGACAATTAAGGTCTCTGTATTTTGCTGCACATCAAGAATATCTCAATTGTAAGAGAGCAAAAAATTACAAGGGGAAATAATTATAATTATAATGAAAACAAAGTAATAAGATAGTCCACGGGAATTATGACCTGGAGCACATGCCTAAAACAGATTTAAAATATTCTTTCAAGGGATAAATGGTCTCAAAAATACAAATTTTTCCTCACTGCAATTAGCAGTATTAGGACTTCAGTTTAGGAATTCAGGAACTATGAAACTGTCGTGACATTAAGTTATTTCAAGTGCAGAAGAGGCCAAAGGGGAACGTGGACCACATGGGAAAAGAATGAACACCTGATTCATGTGCAGATGCGTGGGCCTGTCGTAAGGTCACTGCCGCGGGAATAGTTCTAATAATCCCAGGGTTATTCACTGCGTCTCCATTACCGCCTATCTTAGCTGCACCCCCCCCCCCAACAGATGCGTGTGCTATTAGTCAGGCAGCAAAGCAGAGGACAACTCCAATACTAAGAAGTGTGAAGTCACTAAATTTAAAATGAAATATTTCCTGAGCACTCCCCGGAGCCAGCTCCTGCACGGAGCCCCAGCAGGAAATCGAATACGAATACTTACGACAGCCCATAGACTTGCCTCGTTTGAAATATGACCTCCTTTCGAGAAGTGTCTCACCTCCAGTGACTGGAGGCCTCTTTTTACAGCATGCTAAGAACGTGATAAATTTAGTCCCTTTCCACATTTAGACAGAACCATACCCACGGCACTCCACTGTACATGCTTATTGCTTCTTTCTTGTTATTAAATATTTACATATCCCACGTCACCTAGACTCCAGTTATCCACTTCAGGGTATCATTCGCCTTCGTAGAAGTTTTACTTCTGTCCAACTTTGTTATAACCCAACAGCAGCCGTATGTTGGGTGATTAATTAAAAAAAATTTTTTTTAAGTTTATTTTTGAGAGAGAGAGAGAGAGAGAGAGAGACACGGAATCCAAAGCAGGCTCCAGGTGCCGAGCTATCAGCACAGAGCCTGACAGGGGGCTCGAACTCACGGACCACGAGATCATGACCTGAGCTGAAGTTGAATGCTCAACCGACGGAGCCACCCAGGTGCCCCTGTTGGGAGCTAATTACAAACCAGGCACTGTCCTGCGGCCTCGTCAAAGGCTCACAACGATCCTGTGAGGTAAGCACTATTTTTATCTCCATTTTACAGATGAGGAAACCTGTTTCAAGAGGTTAAGTAACTCACTAGGCAATGGCAGAGTCAGGATTTGAACTCAGGTCTGTCTGACCCCAAAGCCACAGCTCTTGCGTGCCTCTGATCTTCTAGAAGACTGGAATTAAAGCTAAGCCATGATCAAAAGCCAGTTATTAAAAGTCTGCACTCACAAGTCACTGAGCACTTAGCCTTCACCTCTTTAGAGGGAATACCGCGAGTTCCTCCAGCCCGATTTTGCAATCTTGCATGTTCTGGGGACCCTCCTCCGAGGGCCGGTTCTCCTTTGATGATAAACCCCGAAACACACAGCGTGATACGCAAGCACCAACTAGTCTGTGGTTCTGCAAAGTCCCTAGTTCTTCCCCTGGCCCTAGACCTTCCCTTATTTGGGTTTGCAATGTGTTTTTTTTTTTTTTTTTCCTTCTTCTTCTTTTAGGGTCCCTGCAAGATAATCTTCTGGAAGTCCACGCTGCTCATCTTTTGCCAGTTCTTCAGCTTACCAAAGCCACCATTAAGCGCAGACATATAAGCACGCTTTGGATCTCCTCCAGATCAGTGACGTTCAACAATACTGGGCCCAGCAGCGGGACTTGAGAAAAACTCTTAGGTATTTTAAGAAGAATAAACTCCGTAGGGAGCCTGTGTTTATGGCTGCTACAAAACGAATACAACTTAGAAGAGGCATATTATGGGGAACACAGGCAAAGCTGGCTCTTTTCCACTCTGCTGATCACACAACAAAGGGACTGCCACATTCAAGTTCTGGGCTGTAAGACAGGCACTGACCCAGGCTTGAGTTCAGAAGGTGCTGCCCAGGTGGCAACGACAGTTAATGATCCAGTGAGTGACAAGTAGCAGACACAATGAGAAGTGTTTGGGACAGAGGAGAGAAGATGTGGGGAACATTAAAGTTTCAAAATACTGGAAAGACTGGGGCACCTGAGTGATTCAGTCGGTTAAGCAACCGACTTTGGCTCAGGTCGTGATCTCACAGTTCGTGAGTTCGAGCCCCATGTCAGGCTCTGCGCCACGGAGCCTGGGGTCTGCTTCGGATTCTGTGTCTTCCTCCCCCTCTCTGCCCCTCCCCGGCTCATGTTCCGTCACTCTCTCTCTCAAAAATAAATAAACGTTAAAAAAATAAATAAATAAAATATAGGAAAGACTGTCCTAAGGAAGGAGAGTAACAGCTGTGGACAACAACGGCCATGACAACAGCTGGCATCCTTTCAACACTCACAATACATAAACAGCTCACGTGCCTTCATTATTTGTCCCACACGACACCCCCACAGAGTAAGTGTTACGATGCTGCCCATTTTACAGATGAGTCAACTGAGCCATCGAGGGGTGTAATGACTAGCCCCATATCACAGAGCTAAAGCCAGAGCTGAAATACACACCCAGGCACTTTCATTCATGGGCCTGCACCCTCACACTACCCAACATATACACCTTTTTATGGCTGAAAAGTAGGACTAGGGCTAAGGGGACTCAGAGACAGATTTTAGTTCTCTAGAAGGAAGGACTTTCCTACAGTCGGAATGGGCTAAGTATGAAACTTAATGCCCCAGCATGCGATCAACTCTTCGTCACGGGACATTTTCAGGCACAGACCAAAATGTTCCAACAATTATTGGATAGACCGGGGTGATTCCAGCATCAGACAAAGGGCTTGACTCAAGTATCTTTAAGGGTTTTTTCAGGCCTGGGAAATCATGAGCAAGCCCTCTGGGGCCCTGCAGCGCCCATACAATCACCAATGAGTCTGGTGTTGGCAACCCATTTTTGGTTATTCATCCCCCACTCCGGTTATGAATTGGTCTGGAGTGTAAACAACTCACAGCACTGTCATACAAAGCAATGCCCAGGTTAGTCTACAAAAGCTTCTCCTCCAGGTCCTGCTGGACGTGGGTGGAATCTTTATGAATATTATTTTTAGAAAAATAGCACGCACTTGCATACACGTGCAGGCCAATTAGATGCCTAGGCTGGGGGATATTTTTGCAATTCCTGGTCCTCCGCCCAGTCTCATTAACTCCACGGGCTTTATTGTTGTTGGTTGCCAGAAACACACGACGTCTCCATGCCTCTGGGCTTTCGTATGTGCCATTCCCTATACCTCGAACACTCTCCTCCTCTCTCCATCCCCTTTTATCTGGAGGACTCCAACTCGAGAGCTCAGGCACCAATTCCTTGTAGAAGCCTGTCTGGCATTGTCTCTTCCCCCTCCCCACCCTCATGGCTATGTAAAGTCAAGGCGTCCCGTCTGAGCAGCCCCACTGCAATCAAGGTGTAGTTGTACTGGGAAGTAGCACACTGCATTCATTGCAATTGCCTGTTTACTTTTCTCCCACATTCACCAGACAGTAAGCTACCCGAGAGCACAGATTCTTCCATACTGGATCTATAGCACCTGGAAAAGTACCTGATACGCTGCAGATATTTGACCTACGTCTAGCGAATGAATGGATGAATACTGGAAAGGAAAGCATTTGGTCCATGTGTAGATGCACTTCATAGATCAATTTGACTTCGGAATCTATCCGGCTGTTAGATAATTAGCTATCGTTTTTTAAAGCAAAGGGACAGCAGCAAATGAAGCCCCGAGTGGAAAAGCTTTGATAAGGGTATTAGGAGGAGGGCCACAGGAAGACAAAGGTCTTACCCAGGGGATGGTTCCCAGGGGAGCACCACATGAGGATGAATGGGAGTCACAAGCCAGCTGTGCCTCCTTCCTCATCTTGTCTCCGACTGCCAAAGACCAAGCACTGCAAATCACGATTCCTAAGCCATTATTTATAAAGCACAGGCCTGGCATAGGTTACTAGCAGTCACGGGAGGTATCCGATTCTGAAGCTTAGTGACAGAAAAGTCAACCACAGCCCCGAGAGCCACCGACCACTGGGCTGATTTGCCCAGGGAGGCCTGGTCTACATTCCTGTGGATTTTAAGGTTCTTCTGTTATTCTACTCCAGTTTTAAATCTCCTTGCTTTATGTTCTTGATCATTTTTAAATTGAACAGCTTTCTAAAGTCTTAAAGGTCCCTGCTTTTATCATCTGTCCTATTCTTAAATTTTCTCCTGAATAAGCATCCGTTCATTTATAGAGCACGGGCCCCATGGCAGGGACTGGCAACATACTACTCTCAGCCTTTGCTGATAAAATTGCTACTTCCTTTGAATGTCTTTGTTTCTCCCCTTTTCTGCATTGGCTCCCCCCCCCACACTCAAACCCTTCCAGAAGCTATTTCTTTGTATTCTTTATAATTTTCCTGAATTCCTTTCTGTACACCCCCAATGAACTTCTATGGCCCATCTCTCATCAATCTGACGGACCGGAGGAAATGTACCTAAGTCTCTACATATTTATAAGCAAAAGAATTTTGTGTATTCTGCGTGTGTTCCTTTAAAATACCCATCTTAACATATGCATAGATTAAAAAAACATACAATTATTTCTCATTATAGGTACTCTTTAACCAGAACTCTCCACCTATATTTTAGTTAAGAAAACACGTAGTGCTCCTAGCTGAGGATTACCTCCATGTAGAAGAAGAACTAATATTATCAAGGTAAAGTACTTCGTCAACTGTTACATACAACTTGGAACCAAAGCAAGTCACGCAAGGATGCAAAACGTAACCTTGCTCCAAACTGAGCTGGAGCTGAACACGACTGGTTTCTAACAAAACAGTACACTACAAAGCTGACCTAAATTGCTGTGTTGTTTTTGAATTGAATGCAGTACACGAAACAAAAAAAAAAAAAAAAAAAAGAAAGCAAGCAAGCAAAACCCAACAACGAAATGATTAAGTACTTTGTCCAGACTCTAATCATTCAACACTGACCTTCCCCCGACATTATGCATTTTGCCACACAGATGCACCAAAGGAAAAGGAGTTACTTTCATCAATGTACACACTTTGCACGTTAATTACCTCCTCCTTTGCCAATTGTTCTTTTTAAAAAATTCAGTGACTTTTACCCAGCACCTACATTCACCTCTGACCCACTAAGCTTGCCAGAATCCCAGACCCACCCAAACACGTCATCTGGTCAACCTCTGTGACAAAGTACTGTCACAACATTTTGGATTATTTGCATACCTGGTATGACTAACGAGGTATTTCATTTGTCATTCATACTTTGCCAATTAAAGAGAGTGAATCTGTGGATAGCTATTTGTGGCCTGCAAACTACATTTCTGCAAGAACTCAAGTTAGCCAGTATTAACATCGGGACATTCCCAAGATGTGGTAAGAGACGAGCAAAAAATTCAGCTTTCAAAAATATTAATTAAAGTCGGCATCCCCCTCTCAGATGAAGGATTCTCATTAAGGCTTTTTCTTCTGCCTAACTAACGAATGAACCTGTTAATGAATTGTTAGGTTAAAATACATTCTTCTTAATGGCCTGTTTGTACAACGGACAGATGGAAAAGGTTCTTTAAGTGGAACTCCTAATGAAGACCTTTCCTGCATCTTTAACACAGAGGTGATTCTCACGGACACCACATTTTTAAAAGTCATACCTGGCAGCCAGTCTAAGCCTGGTTCAAATGCCCCTCTGCATTAAGTGAAGCTGCCGTAGCAAAGCTGAACCCAGAGCACTCAACGATCGGGAAAAAACATACCATATTTAATAAAATTCCAGATTCCTGTGGTCGGTGTCCGTAAAAACGCTTTGCCGTGTTGGATATATGGTTTGCAAAGGCAAGCAAATCCTCCACGGTGCCATATCTGACGGAGGACAACCAAGGCACCTCCTGGCCACTGAGCAGCAGAGATTCTGTACGCTCCTCGTTTTGATTACTGTCTTGACACATGGTCATCAGACTGGGCTCATAAACCGCTGGCTCTTCACTCGTGTAAAGATTTTCCATAATGTCTATGACATCGGACACGTTCAAGTGTTTAATTAATAAATCGATCTCTTCTTTATCGTCACTTCCAGTGCTCATGTACTCCATCACTGTTGCGCTTTTTAGAGAATCTGCAAAAGAGAACACGAACGCTTAGTGACGGTGTTTGTATTTGCGACTAAGATCAATGGGAAACTGACATAAAAGGATTGGGAACAGGCTTCCATGCGCCTGTTGGTGAAAGGAGGGCTCTGTGTCAACAGTGTAAATTCAAGTTGACAGTGAAGAAAGGGACCTTAGATAACCTTTAGTCCAGCTGTTCACTTTACAGAGGGGAAACCTGAATCCAGAGAGCTTACTCCTTACTCACTCACTCACTCACTCACTGAACTGGTGGCATCAGCTACAGCCACTGAAAACAAACCTTCACGAAATACCAAGGCTCCTGGCCCTTGACAGCTTCCAACCCTACCGTTCCCCCAAGAGACCAACCCTCCCCGCACAGATCTCTGTGGCTTCCCAGCCTTGGGTGACTTTAAAGGAAAAGAACAATTTTATCAAATTCAGGAGCTCACTTGGCAAATACAATTCAGGCCTTGGAGCCAAAAACATGTAAAATGGATTCTAATGTGAGTAAGCTGATGGTGATAGGTCAAGTTTCAGGAATAATTCTGATGCAAATGAGTTAAACAGCTCCTGTAGACTGGGGACCACAAGCTTCAAATCCTACCAGCCAGGAGTGTGAGAGAGGGGAAGATTTCTTTTAGCCTGTGAAATCAGCCGTCTCCTCTTGAGACCAGAATTCCTTAACAGCACAAAACATGTATCTCAATGGCCCAAGAAAGTTAATCTAATACTTCGATTGATCACCCTCTAGAAGTCGTGGTGTTATGGAGAGGCCTGCAAAGCTGAATCAGTCCTAAGCAAGACACGGGTAAGGCCAGCTAACTACATACCTGCTAATATTGTATTTCAGTTCTTATATGCAAATCGGGGGCTACACCTCAGGATCCATAAATGAGAAAAAGAAGGTAAAGCAAAGGTAAAAAAAAAAAAAAAAGAGGCTGTTCCTCGGGATTTTAGAACAACTCCGTTCTAGCCAGAGGATTAAAGATAAAAAGATTTACCTAAGACATCTAAGAGAATTCAGAGGCATGAATGTCTCCCTGAACTATTGTGCTCCTGAAGGCACAGCCTCTCTGAAAGATGTTTCTGGTTCTTTTCTTTTTTAATATTTTTTTAGGTTTATTAATTTTGAGAAAGAGAGCACAAGTAGGGGAGGTGCAGCGAGAGAAGGAGTAAGAGAGAATCCCAAGCAGGCTCCTGACTGTCAGCGCAGAGCCAGATCCTGGGCTCAAACCCATGAACTATGAGATCACGAGACCATGACCTGGGCCCAAATCAAGAGTCAGACACAACTGACTCAGCCACCCAGGCGCCCCCATGTTTCTGGTTCTTAAAAGCACAACCGTTTAACACCTCCAACACTCCACGCTAAAGCCACGGGCCTCCACCTAACTGGAGCTCAAGTACAAAGCTCCAGGAAATGTTCTACCTCGGGGACCCACCTGCAACACAGGAACCCACCGCTGGCCTCGGAGTGAATTTCATTTGAGAAAAGAACCAGGCAATCTGGTGTCGCTAGATAGTCCCTTAACTCCGTGACCATTTTCTGCTGCGGAAGTTGTGTCGGCAGAGAGCAATCCCACACCCTGCAGTCTGATGCTCCACTTGGCTCAGACTGCTGGGGATGGGCTCCCAGCGCCTCCTTCACTGCCTCCCGACCTTGGGCAAGCATCTGAACCACTCTGCACCTCTACTTCCCCTATCTGCAAAATGGAAGCATAACAGCACCTACCTCATAGGGCGGTTGTGAGGTTTAAAGAAGTTCAGGTGTGCAAGGTATCTGCTGCATGGTTAATAAGCTCTGTCATCTGTGGTTGCTGGTCCCTGCATAAAAGAAGTACTGAGTCAGACTCCTGGCTTTGCAGATACGCTTAGGCCTTTCTTATCTGCAAATGGGATGTGGCTACCAATCCCCGGGCTTCTTCACTTTTTTTTTTTTTAATGCTTAATTATTTTTGAGAGAGAGAGAGCTTGAGACGGAGAGACAAAGTGCGAGTGGGGGAGGTGAAGAGAAGAGAGGGAGACACAGAATCCGAAGCAGGCTCCAGGCTCTGAGCTGTCAGCACAGAGCCCGACGCGGGGCTCGAACCCAGGGATCGCGAGATCATGACCCTAGAGGTCAAAGTCGGGCGCTCAACCGACTGAGCCACCCAGGCGCCCCCACGGTTAGGTTCTAAAGGCTGTATCTAGAATAAGAGACAAAATGAAAAAAAAAAGGTAGAAACCTCTGAAATGCTTTGATAGCTGTTACCACCACAGTTATATCTAGAGAGCTCCTCTCAGAGACCTCCCTGTGTCTTTGAGTGAGACTGTGATGCAGGCTCTTGGAGTCTTGAGTTATGAAAGGAATTTCTTAGGTTAATGGAGGAACATTCGCCCTGAATTTCCTTGGGCCATTCGGTTGCAGTTTCTGCCCGTAGAATTTACTGAGAAAAGGAAGTTAAAGCAAAACCAGCCTGACTGAGGACCCCCGCTGGCTTGAAAAGTTCCAAGGCTCCTGGACTTAGCAAATGGCTGACTGGAGAGAAAATAAAGTTCCTAGTAGCAACGTGACTCAGGAAAGAAAGAGAAAAAAAAGTCCACGCAGTTTACAAGTCAGATGATCCAGAGAGGAAAGACAGGTTTTGATTTTTACACTGTGCAGAAAGTCTCAAGCATTCATACCCGAAGCCTACGAGGTTTGAGTGCACACACTCCTAAGTTTCCTGATGAGGGAGGGGGGAAGGAAGAGAGGAGGAGGAGAGGAGAGGGAGAGGGGGAAGGAGAGAGGGAGGGCAGGGGAGGCGGAGGAGTGCAGGACACTGAAGCCAGGCTTAATTCCTTAGCAACACAGCCTCCTGCCACGCAAATCAGTGCACCCCAGCAACCCCAGGACCCGGCAGCCTCTAAAGGCCCCTGCTAAAGCCTCAGCACTTTCAGGCCTTAATTAAGCAGACAACACGCTTAATGATTTCGGAGTTCTACAGATGACTACCCATGTAGAAAAAGCGTGGCTTGTGAAGCTATTCTATTTCACCAATAAAGACTCTCCCCCACAGAGGTTACTATAAAAATCCTCATGACGCCCCCACTTGTCAACGGAGGGGACAAACACAACAATCTTAGATATGGAGAAATGGGCAGATACAGCCCAAATTATTTGCTTTGAATTATTTCAGAAATCAGCAAGAGGAAATCCTATCCTAAGCATTAACGTTACCCTCTTGGCTACTTCTATTTATGTAAACAAAAGTTGAGAAATCCCCAGCAAGTGTGAATGAAAAATGGCCAAGGGGGCGCCTGGGTGGCACGGTCGGTTAAGCGTCCGACTTCGGCTCAGGTCATGATCTCACGGTCAGTGAGTTCGAGCCCTGCATCTGGCTCTGTGCTGACAGCTCAGAGCCTGGAGCCTGTTTCAGATTCTGTGTCTCCCTCTCTCTCTGCCCCTCCCCCGTTCATGCTCTGTCTCTCTCTGTCTCAAAAATAAATAAACGTTAAAAAAAAAAAATTAAAAAAAAGAAAAATGGCCAAGGTTGTCGGCATATGCCTCTGCCTAACAAAGGATAATTACACCTTGTGTTACCTCCCACTCGAAAGATTTTTCTGCCAGTTTTCGGTACATTGCCCCTCGGGGCCCACCTCTTATTATATCTATCTTCTCCAAAAGCCCCAGAATTACACATTCTAGCTGTAGACGAGCACAGCCAATCTGCTTCCAAACCTCTAGATACCCCAACTATCCAGTTTGCCTTATAAGAAAGAAAAAGTCCTAAAGGGTCATCTGCCGGAAGTAAGGCATACAAACCTCAATCCATCAGAGTTGGGATCAGATTATATTCCACTTGGCAAATACGTGAGACTCAGGCTACAGACGCCTAATGCAACTGTAGTAGTGTTTCTTTCCCTGTTTTTATGAGGAGCACTTCTTAATTCTGTGCCAAAATCTCTTCCCGAAAGTGAAATAGACGTTTCTCTTAAAGACACCTCCTGGCCTTCCTTGTCAATTTGTGGGACAATCCTATGCACGCCGTTCTTTCTAAGTGTCGTTCTCCGCCCAGACACAGAAGAATTTCGGAGCCCTGATATCGCATGACCAGCGGGAAACATCCGTGAAATAACTTTTTCCTTAACACTCTCTCTTAGACCAAAAGCCCAGCATTCACGTTCTGCTACAACGACCCTTTAATCGCAGAAGAGCGTCCGGGTTACATAAGCACGAAATTAAGTTTCAGCTATTCAAAAAGTTCTCTGCTCCGCCAACCGCCAACCCCGTCTCCCCTCCTCCTATTCTCCAAAGCCCGGGAAGCCTACCAGGACTTGTAAATGATAAAAGCCCCCACGATTTGGGCGGGCGGCTGCCGGGTCTCCAGCCTCCGAAGCGCACTCGCCGGGGTCGGCGGGGAGAGTGCGGCCGGCCGGGCGGCTTACGCAGCGGGAGGCGCGGTGACAGCGGGTCTCTGGGTCCCCGCTCACTGCTCGGATCTAACCTGCTCGCGCGCTAGGGATCCGGGAAGGAGGAGGAAGGGGGAGGAGTCGGAGTCTGCACCCCGTGAGACCCTTGCGCAAGGTGCTTTCCAGCTGTGCCGGCTGCAGCCGGGACGCGCGCGAACCGCGGAAGCGCAGCAGCGCGGGCGCCGGCCACGCCCCCACCTCCCAGAGCCCCGCAGTTTGCCCCTCAGTCGGAGGTGGGGAGGGCGCACCACTAGGAGGGCTGCGACCACAAAGACCCCCCCTCCGGAAGTCCCCGAATGCAGGGTTACCTGGCGGACGGAGCGCTGCAGCCTCGGCCCCACGACGGCTCGGTGCGCCGCTGGTGGCCGGCCCACCGGAGTCGGGCGCGCAGGGGCAGCGAGATCCGGCGGCAGCAGACGCCGGAGCCAGGGCGATCGGCCCCAGAGCGTGGCGCGTCGTCCGGACCCGAGCGTACCAGTGAGCGCGGGGCCGCCAGCTCAGGCCGCACGTCCTGGCCGCCCTCGTCGGCCCCTGACTCACGGCGTCTGAGCCGGCGGAGGGGCGGTGCAGCGGACGCCAGCCGCCGCCTCCCCGCCTTTTCCATTTCCCCTTTCACTCCGTAAACAGAAAGAGACTGCCGCGTTGCGGGGAAGCCGGAGCACCCGCTCTGGGAAATTCCGTCCCCCCCCCCCCCCACCGCCCCGTTTGTCCTCGGGGCGCCCGGGCGGAGCGGAAGGCGGGACTAGGGAGGAGCGGAGCGCCGCGAGGGGAGGGGCGCTGGCGGATTACTGGAGCTGGGACTCGCCACGCCACCTGGGGAGCGCTACCCTCACCCCCATCCCCCCACCCCGGACTGTAGCCGCGGCTCCCGATGGTGGCCTGGGACACCTAGGGATTTTCCCTCGGGCTGGGGACCCGACCACCTGGTGGCGTAAGATGCCCCGCGGCCGTGTCACTGCACCCCTTCCTAGTCCCGGAAAGAAGATCGTATTTCCTAGCGTGCTCCAGCCGTCTGCGCTACCCCGGAATCCCAGGCCGCGGCGGGGAGGGCGAGCGGCCCCACCCCTTCCCTGTGCCCATTCCCACGTTCCGGGAGGATTGAGCCGAGGTGGGCTTCTGGATTTCTTTCTCTCAGAACCGGGTCCGTGCACCCGATTGCGGGTAGCGCGGCATACCCGGCCAGGTTTCGGTTCACGTCCACGTACAATGAGTGCCGTGATCCGTAGTAGTTCGCACGCAAGGCCTCCCGTTTAAAGTTTGGGAGAGGTTGGCGCCAGGTGGGCGAGAACCTGGCGAAGGAGCACCCGGAGAGGGGCAGTGTACCCCGCCAGCAAAACCTGGTCTTGTTCTCGGCAGTCTTGGAACTGGGCATTTGGTGGCACCGTCCCATTAGGAAATATACCTGTACTCCTCTCCACCTCCTAACCCCGGCTGCAAGTCTGGGGTTTTCTGCACAGCTTGGAAAGATCAAAGTTTGTTTGTAGCATTCTTCCTTTTCGAGGGGAAAGCGTTTCCTCCAGGGGAAGCGGGAAGCGAGTTCCAGGGAAAATAGCGCGTCTGTCCACGAAATCCACTTTGCCGGCCTTTCACAGTACCTGAGTTGCAACTCACCACCTTCTCGTCCCTCAATACTTCCCTAGTATCAAGCACCTACTATCAGCTAGATATTCTGCAAGACAGCCCAGAGAAAGAGAGGGAATGTAAGGTAGGAATTCTCTAGGTCTTACAGACCTGGACGTTGGGGGTCCCGGGCGTAGCCCAGATTCAAACGCCCCACGACTTTGAGTCCACGCCCTGTCCTCTCCAGTCCCCACACTCATTCTACCCCCGCGGTTTCAAAACTGCATCGGACCCGCTCTAGAGTTTTCCATGTTTCTTCTGTGGAAAGTGAGTTGCTGTTCCGATGCAAAGAAGTCGTGTGAAAATTGCTGATGGACCTAGGCCTGCTTAGGCGGGAAGCACGGCCCTCGTTGTAGGGCCTTGACTCCTATAATCTCTTTGTGCTTCCGGTCAGGCAGGGACGAGGCTGATAAAGTGATTGACAAGTAGCTGAGCCCATCAGTAAAAATGAGCCCAGCTAGCAAATAAAACGGGCAGGACTGATTGACTGGTCACTAACTCCCCCCCCCCCCCCCCCCGCCTTATTTTAGCCACTGCAGTGCTGTGACATGAATGATGCGGGATGTATGCGAACCTCTGGAACTGTCCCGGTGGTCCCGGGCAGTGAAGGGGTCCCCAGCGCCGTAAGGAGAAGCCCTTCTGGACGACCGGGCTTTTCTGCTCTTGGAGGGAGGGACCGACTTCGCTGCTATGACTCGGGAGAGACAACGTGTGCAGAAACCGAAGTAGAAACTGCTCTCCAGCTTTTTCTCTGGGAACGGTTGACGCGATTGTTATCTCCAGTGGGAACGTGAAAGATGTCTTTCCCTCATCTGTTGTCTTTGAGCAGCAAGGGATGATGTTTATAAGCATTTTAAAAATAGAAACATGGAACCACTCCCGCCTCCACCCCTTTGAATGAGCTCATTAAAACCACACCTCATCTTCTGGGAACTAAGTATTAGCCTTGTACTTCCTACAAAGAAGACTCCCAAATACAGCTGCATTTTAAGGAGCCCGTGAAATGGCTGCTCCAGAAGGTTCTGATTGGCTGTTAATGACTTCTAGGATGGTAGAATTCCTCTGGTGGGGTGAATTGAGAGGAAGTATTCTATTAAAAAAAAGATTTTTTTTTAAGTCGAACAAAGATTGGATCTGGTGTCCTGGAAGAGACTGAAGAAAGAGAACAATGGAATGGAAAGAAAAAGTTTGCAGACTCCTTGCATTTTACTTGGTCAGGACTTGCTTACACGGTCTTGCAAAAGCAATCCTGCTTTTTTTAGGAGCTTGCTAGCCAAGTGAGGTTTGAATTTTTTTTTTTCAACGTTTATTTATTTTGGGACAGAGAGAGAGACAGAGCATGAACGGGGGAGGGGCAGAGAGAGAGGGAGACACAGAATCGGAAACAGGCTCCAGGCTCTGAGCCATCAGCCCAGAGCCTGACGCGGGGCTCGAACTCACGGACCGCGAGATTGTGACCTGGCTGAAGTCGGACGCTTAACCGACTGCGCCACCCAGGCGCCCCCCAAGTGAGGTTTAAACTTGACAAGGAGAAACCACCTGACCCAACGTGTGCACAACCCATAGGAGAGTTACCCAAGAAACCATCATGAAGTTCATTACAAAACAGGTCTTTTGAAGCTGTTCAGCAGCCAACAAAATGCACTTTAAAATTGAGTTGCAACCTGTTACAGTTTACTTGACGCTTTCTCCACTTACAGGTCGGGACAATAATGGGTTTGTAATCTGCAGTTTGCAAATCAGAACTCATTTACTCATGGAAACAAAATGATTAACTATGGGTTGATCAGCAGTCAGAGCATTGACCTTAGGTAACTCCAATGGGGCTCTCTACTAATAAACAGAATATAGGACACTGCTTTCCAACGTTTTGCATATTCATAAAGTATAATGATTAGAGAATCCTGGAATTAACTGGAATAAGTTGGGGGATATCTATAGATCACTTGGTGAAAAATGTGTTTCATTTTCTTAAATTATAATAACAGTAAAATACAAAGTATTTGAAGATAATTTGTGAATTTGAATAAAGCTTTGAATAATATTTTGTTTACATATTTTTAAATTATTGATTTATTTTTGAGAGAGAGATAGAGTGTGAGTGGGGGAGGGGCAGAGAGAGAGGAAGACACAGAATTTGAAGCAGGTTCCTGGCTCTGAGCTATCAGCAGAGCCTGACTTGGGGCTTGAACTTATGAACCTCGAGATCATGATCTGAGCCGAAGTCAGATGCCTAACCAACTGAGTCACCCAGATGCTCCTAAATAAGATATTTTTAAAGTTAAGAGGAACTTGAGACTGATTTCATGAGCATAACTTTTTAATTTTTTCTATATTGTAACAATTACACATTTACCACTTAAGATGTTTGAATAATGATCTGTCCAAACTTCTGATAATAAACTTCGGATGAGACCCTATACAGGCAGACACGTGAGTAAATTTAGAATCATTATACTCTTCAACAAATTTCTTTAAGCTTACTTATTTATTCTGAGAGAGAGAGAAAAAGAGTGCGAGTAGGGGAGGGGCAGAGAGAGGAGTGAGGGAGAATCCCAAGTAGGCTCGCTGTCAGTGCGTAGCCCCGATGTGGGGCTCAAACCCACCAACTGTGAGATCATGACCTGAACCGAAATCAAGAGTTGGACGCTTAACTGCTTAACCGACTGAGCCCCCCAGGCTCCCTGACCTTTAAAACAATTTTTTAAAGTTGAAATGGTGTTTTAAAAATCCAGTAACTCTTTTTCCTTCATGGGCGTATGTAAGTTTCTCATGGTAAGTGTGAGAGTTTCAAATTATAATTGGACTTTTTCATGTTAAGTCTTTCAAAGTGACAAAGCTTCAATCTGCAGAACAGCCATGCCCCGTCGAAGCAGTTAGCTTGGACAACACTAAAAAGACACATTAGCCTAAAGGATGAAGTATCCAGTAGAGGAGGAGATTCAGGGCTGACTCCCCCTGCTCAGGGACCTCCAGACCTCAGGCCCTGCCCCCCACGGCCAACTGCTCTGGGGCCTTTGGCCAGGCTTCTCTGGTACCTGAAACAAACCGATTCCTCTGTCACAGCCTGGGTCGCTGCAGCTGCTGGCTGTGGACCTGCTTGGCCTCGCTCACCCTCTGAGGTGGATTAGGGATGCCCCTTAGACCTGTAGAGACTGCATGGTGAGTCATTAAATTCTGCTCTGCCCCGGCAGCACCCATC